GGCCAAAAATAAATGACTCAGCAAATAAATTAGCATTCCATTAAATGTGCCAAAAGTATGGAAAATAAATGTAGGGATTTATTAATTTATAATATATGGCATAAATTAATATTTCTGTTTTCATTTGCTTCTGTATTTTTTTTCCTTTGTATTAATTCCCATATTTATTTACTTTTTATTTATTAATTTTTAAAATTGCGTATTTATTTCTGCTTTATTTTTTTCTATGCATACATTTCTTTATGAGGGGGGCTGTTATTCAAAGTGTGTCATGGGGTCAACCCTTCACCAATTGGTTGATGGAAATCAGAGTGCATAGATCTACTTTACGTGCATTGCTCCCACACGGTGGCCAGTGGTTCTTTAGCTAAAAAGAAGGTAGCTTGTTTTTCCAGCCTCATGTGGGTCCTGCGAAATATGACTACAGCTTGGAAAATAGTAATATGGGCCACTAAACTTGATGAATTTACTGTTTTTATCAGACCACAAAAGAGACAAGAATTAGGCTAAGCGATAGACGTCGGAGGTGCTGGGCCTCACTCGTTACTGTACAAAAACACAACTTTATAACTTTATTCACTGATTTTGGATCATATTTTATGGACAACATTAACTTTTTACTAAAGTAACTGTTAACTGAGCTGACCAGCGGATGGTAGCTAATGTTACAGTTAGCGGTAGTTAGTGGCTACTGTGGCAACAAGAAAAGCTTTCTGTCCATCGAGAAACTCTGGAAATCACAGAGCGTTGAGGCGGAGAAGCCGGAGGACATCAGAGAGAAAATGGGGGCATATAGATAAATTCATTAAATGAAAAAATTAAGTGGAAAAGTAAAGAAATATGGAAATTAATACAAAGGTAAATAAATTCAGAAACTACTTTAAACAGATATATCAATTTCTGTCACATTTTATGAATGAATACATTTATTTTTAATATTTTGGAGCATTTCATGGAATATGATTTCATTTATGGAGCCATTTATTTATTCTTGATTTTGGCTATTACAGTCCTGCGTATGATTAACCTTAAATTCCTCAAATAATTAACGTTTACAGGTGTAAACTCTGATAGGCTGCTGCGTGAGTGGGCCTTTAAAAACTCTAAATACTAAATCATTTGACAGTTGCAAATGTTAAACTGGAATGCTTTCAGTAAAGTCATAATATCAGATATAAAATATAGATTATTAATAAAATAATACAAAATACACTTTGATTTCTCTTGTGAGTAAAAGCTAGACTTCCGAACTTGTCAAAGTGAAACCTTCCTATTTCACTGTAAAACTAACTGTTGAACTATGTCTGTCATAATAATCCAGAAAAGAAGCATCCATAATGCAATAAAACCGGTTTTCTAAAATTCAAAATTCATGTATCAAATGTTAAACACTCCTGAAATAAAAAGAAATTCATAAACTATATACATGAAGCTGATAAACAGGCTAGTTTTAAGAAGAGAGTCTCTCAAAAAGAAGAAAAATGTCTGAAAATAGGACCAATACTTCCTGATAGACCTGAAAACTGTTTTATAGTCCTGCTAAAAAACTGACTGGCTTTTAAAAAAAATTATAAAAAAACAATGACGCTCAGAAAATGTCCTTGCAGCCACAAATAATACCGATAATTAATAAATAAAATCACTTTCAAATGTACTTTAAAAACGGTCTTGTGTAGTAAAAGTCACCCATAATAAAATCGCACAGTAACTAATTCAAAACAATCAAATTAAATAAAATAAATAGGTTGTTCACTCAACTACTGAAAAAATAAGTAATTAAAAAAGATTTTACTCATAAAACTTCTGTAACTCAAAAAAGACACAGGCCTAATTTAAAAGCTGTTTTTTAAAAGAGAAAACATTTGAAATACCGATAATCAGGTCCTCTCGACATACGTTTTATATTTTTAAAAACATGTTTCACAAGTGTGATGTTTCCATCCCTCTGCACACATGACCAGGCAGAAACTCTGCTTCAGGTTATTTCATCCTTTTTAATCAAGTTTAGTTTCTCTGAAAAAAAACAAAACAGACAGACAGACAGCAACAAAAACAGACAGTACAGACTTCATACAAGTGAATGCTAATGACAAGAGTGCAAAAAAAATAAAACAAAAAAAATCTCCAAAACAGAATTCTTTTTACAAAACCAAAACGGAAAAAAAATAGTGACATGGAGAGTGGTTTAAAAAAAAAAACTCTGATCAAGGATCAGTCTGCATCCTGCTGGGAATCAACCCTGTTTTTACTTCCTGTTTCTGCTGTTTGGGGCCATTTTAATATTTGAATATTGAAGTCAGACCCGCTGGACGATGTTTGTGCTTTTATTTTGCCAATAATATACATTATTCGGTTTTTAGTATTGTAATGTGTCATGTGTTAGCTGTGTGTGTGTTGACAAGATATTCATTTTTGTAGTATAA